GGTTGGGTTTAGTTTGGTTGGGTTTGGTTTAGTTTAGTTTGGTTTGGTTTAGTTTAGTTTAGTTTGGTTGGGTTTGGTTTAGTTTAGTTTAGTTTGGTTGGGTTTGGTTTAGTTTGGTTTAGTTTGGTTTGGTTTGGTTTGGTTTGATTGGGTTGGGTTTAGTTTGGTTGGGTTGGGTTTGGTTTAGTTTGGTTTATCTTGGTTTAGTTTAGTTTGGTTTGGTTTGGTTTAATTTAGTTTAGTTTAGTTTGGTTTAGTTTGGTTTATCTTGGTTTGTTTTGTTTTCCTCAGGTGAAATCTGCATCGCTCAGTCTCTAAAGATTCCTCACGACCACAAACCTTCAGACTTTGACAAAATCATCCGTCAGCTGCTGGACACCAGATACGCTCGGGCCGTGGTTCTGTTCGCCTCTGATGAAGATATCAGGTAACTAACACTTGTTAGTCCTACATCGGTTCTGTTCACGCTCACACTGACCCAGTTCTGTTTACTGAACTTAGTTTTAGGTGGAAATTTTATCCAAACGTTCAGTTTCAGGGTTCATTCTGTTGGTACCACCTCATCCAACCAGAGCTCAGTCTCAGTGGAACCAAAGGTTCTGTGGATGGTTCTAACTGTTGTGTTTCGGTCCAGAGGAATTCTGAATGCTTCGAAGCGAGCGGATCAGATCGGTCACTTCCTGTGGATCGGTTCTGACAGTTGGGGGTCCAAGAACAGTCCAATCCATCAGCTGGAAGACGCTGCAGTCGGCGCCATCACCATCCTGCCAAAGAGGGCCACCATCAGCGGTGAGACCAGGACTCCTGTCCTTCCATTTAAATGAAAACTTTTCTTTTAGAAAAATCTGATCCCACAGAAACTAAATTGAGATGAGTTTGAGACAAGTTGGAACAGGTTTGAGACAGTTTTGAGACTAGTTGGGAACAGGTTTGAGACTAGTTGGGGACAGATTTGAGACAAGTTGTAGACAGGTTTGAGACAAGTTTGAGACTAGTTGGGAACAAGTTTGAGACAGGTTTGAGACTAGTCGGGAACAGGTTTGAGACTGGTTGGGAACAGGCAGGTTTATTGTGTTTGGAGACATTTTTAGGTGGGGGTCTTGGTTCTCTGACCCTCACTTGGTTCTTGAGTCTTCTTGAAACCAACAATCATAAAGTTGTTTCTTATTTCTTGAGAATTAAAAAAATCAGGCAGATTTTTAAATAAAAGTCTGTTTTTCACAAATAAATTCAGTTTTTTTGATCACGTCAGGACATTTATGTCCAAATCAGATCATGTGACTCCTTTATCCTTCACGTGAAACATTTTTGTTAATTTGTTAAAGCAGGATCTTTTTGTCTAAAACAGAATAACTGTCTCTTACTAAGCTGAACAGTTGTTCAGGTGGACAAACTTTGTTTCTAAAAGCAGCAGAAACAGAGACAGATGAAGTGATGCTAAGCTAATCAAACACAGCTGTTCTTTATGCTCCATCAAAGTGGACTAAATGGACTGAGTGGGTTCTGGGTTTCAGTTTTGTTTTAACTCATGTTTCCTGAATTTATCTTCTGACTGAGTTAAAAATGATTCTTTAAAAATTTGTTGCTGAAAACTTTCCAGAAAGAAAAAATTAAGGTGTTTCTGCTGACTGAGTTTTGTTAACTCAGGTTCTGCAGATTTAGTTTGGACTTCCTGTTCTTTAAATGGAAAATGAAACTTCGTCTCGTCGGCTGCGTTTGGTTCTTCTCCTCGTGTTTCTTATCTCTGACTTCTTTCCTGTTGCTCCTTTTTCTGGGTCCTGATGAAGCAGAAGTGGTGAAAAAGTCAATCAGCCGAGGGAACGTTCCCATCTTTCCTGTGAAACGCTCCTTTTGATGCTGATTATGAGTCATTATTATTCGGCCCCATCAGCACTGCTGTGTCTGCAGGAACGCACACAGACACATTTTAGTTTTTATTCAGCTGCCAGAGAAAAGTTTGCTCTCCCTTGTTGTGGTGGCATTTCACTTGTAGATTTAAATTTAGTTTATTATCTCGTTTGATTTAGATAAAGCGCTGTTTTAACCTTTGATTTTATTAACGCACATATTCAAATACACTGACATTTCAAAGAGCGTTAGAGCCGAGCCGACAGCAGAACAAAGAGAATTAAAGGGTAAAAAAGAAGAGGCCATCGGGTCTGCAGGAAGACTTTCATTTGGTTCCAGTCAGGAAAAGTCCTGCAGCTCATAAGTCACTGTCAGGAGGAGGAGGAGGATCAAGGTTGTCCACAAAAACCCAACAGTTCCAACAGAAGAAAGGTCCAACAGGAGGTGAACCTGCTGGAGGAAACTCCTGGTATTTAGTTAAAGGAGGCGCTGTGGCAGAACGACTTCAGAGGAATAATAACGATCATTCATGTGTTCATGCTGATGATTAGTTCAGTGTTTCTGCTCTGAAGAGCAGCAGAAAGTGAAAAGTTTTAAGCACATTATTACTGGTGATTTACGAGTCTTTCTCTAGTTTTTAATGAAACCAAATGATTGAGTTTTATTTGCAGGATCAGGCCTCACCTGTCACCTGACTGATGTTTGTTTGAACCTTTAAAGGTGACCACGGGTCAGCCTCCGGTCTCTGAGCCGCTGCACCGTCACTGCCTGTGCTTAACAACAACATCCATTAACATTTTAATATAATCCAAGCTTGATATGATCTGAAGAGGGAAAAGCTGAGCGGTGGCCTGCTTTTAACCTCCATTCATGAAAACACAGGAAGTGACATTTAATTCTGGTCCACAAAAGGATAATTATATCCCACGTCAGGTCCGTGCTGCAGAACCTGCAAAGAGCTCATTTACCTGTTAATTACCTGCTTTTAGCCAAACAAAACAAATCATGGGTAGAACAGCTGACGTTGTTTTCCTCTGACTTGTCACAGAAAACACCGAGGAAAAACATCTTTAAATCAAAATAAAGTCAAAGTTTTCAGAGAAGTCATTTTTCTGTGCAAACCTGAGTTCTGATTGTTCTTCAAATGACTGACTTCAACCTGATTTAAGATGGCCGCCACAATATGGCCGCCACAGCCAGCTGGACTCAGTAAACTTCTGGAGTGTAGAACATGAAGAAGCTCCTCCAGGGAGGAGATGTTTTTGTTCTGAGGAACCGACCCACAGCTCAGGGTTCCCCTGTGTTCCTCTGCAACAGGAAGCTTTAAGGTTCTGAGTGTGTGTGTGTGTGTGTGTGTGTGTGTGTATGTATGTGTGTGTGTGTGTGTGTGTGTGTGTG